TTTTCAAACAGGACATCTGTTGTTCATACTCAGGGAAGACTTTATACTGATGAATAAGGTGACCAACTTTGATGAAGTTTGGAATAGAATTAGTAAAGTTATTATGCACACAATAACAATTATTAACGACGATGACAATGACAACAACAACGACAACGCCGGACAAAATTTTTCCCTTAATATACCTTTCCCTTCCATCTTTGATGGTACGGGCAAGGTAAACATGAGTAAATATATTTATTACTTTTCACACATAAAAAAAATCATTAATTTAAACAACATATGATTTTTTTAACACTAATTTATAATAGGAACAAATATCACTCATACCTGATATTGTATGTAATTATTTGCCAAATCTATGGAAACAAAATTCCATTCCTTTCCTTGGTTACCACTAATTGCCCATTTCTCCATTGTTCCATTAGAATATTTATCTTTGACAATTACTTTCAAAGTTCCAAAATTAGTGCCATACATGTAGTAGTAGAAGCGAATCTTTAAAATGCAAAAATAAATTGTTATTTAGAACAGAAGTAGTCATAACAAATTGTAAGTAAGACCTGCTTAGAACAACTAGGGTTGTGCAACAATAGATTTGTTAGAACAATTAGGGTTGTACAACAGAAGATTGCTTAGAACAACTAGGGTTGTACAATAGAAGATTTGCTTAAAACAATTAGGGTTGTAAAACAGAAGATTGCTAAGAACAACTAGGGTTGTACAATAGAAGATTTGCTTAGAACAATTAGGGTTGTACAACAGAAGATTGCTTAGAACAATTAGGGTTGTACAATAGAAGATTTGCTTAGAACAACTAGGGTTGTACAATAGAAGATTTGCTTAGAACAATTAGGGTTGTACAATAGAAGATTTGCTTAGAACAACTTGGGTTTCACAACAGAAATATTGCTTAGAACAACTTGGGTTATACAACAGAAGATTTGCTTAGAACAACTTGGGTTGTACAACAGAAGATTTGCTTAGAACAATTAGGATTGTACAACAGATGATTTGCTAAGAGCAACTTTATCTTTGACAATTACTTTCAAAGTTCCAAAATTAGTGCCATACAAGTAGTAGTGAAAGCGAATCTTTAAAATGCAAAAATAAATTGTTATTTAGAACAGAAGTAGTCATAACAAATTGTAAGTAAGACCTGCTTAGAACAACAGATGATTTGCTGAGAACAACTTGGGTTTCACAACAGAAGATTTGCTAAGAACAACTTGGGTTGTACAACAGAAGATTTGCTAAGAACAACTAGGGCTGTTCAACAGAAGATTTGCTTAGAACAACTAGGTTTGTACAACAGATGATTTGCGTAGAACAACTTGGGCTGTACAAGAGAAGATTTGCTTAGAACAACTAGGTTTGTACAACAGATGATTTGCGTAGAACAACTTGGGCTGTACAACAGAAGATTTGCTTAGAACAACTAGGGTTGTACAACAGAAGATTTGCTTAGAACAATTATGATTGTACAATAGAAGATTTGCTTAGAACAACTTGGGTTGTACAACAGAAGATTTGCTAAAAGCAACTAGGGTTGTAGAACAGAAGATTTGCTAAGAACAATTATTGTACAATAGAAGATTTGCTTAGAACAACTTGGGTTGTACAACAGAAGATTTGCTAAAAGCAACTAGAGTTATATAACAGAAGATTTGCTTAGAACAATTAGGATTGTCCAATAGAAGTTTTGCTTAGAACAACTGGGGTTGTACAACAGAAGATTTGCTTAGAACAACTAGGGCTGTATAACAGAAGATTTGCTTACAACAACTTGGGTCGTACAACAGATGATTTGCTTAGAACAATTATGATTGTACAATAGAAGATTTGCTTAGAACAATTAGGATTATATAACAGAAGATTTGCTAAGAACAACTGGGGTTGTAGAACAGAAGTTATGCTAAGAACAACTAGGGCTGTACAACAGAAGATTTGCTTAGAACAATTATGATTGTACAACAGAAGATTTTCTAAGAACAACTAGGATAGTACAACAGATGATTTGCTTAGAACAATTAGGATTGTATAACAGAAGATTTGCTTAGAACAAAGGTTGTACAATAGTAGATTTGTTTAGAAAAACTGGGGTTGATTTGATTGTATACAATTAATAGCCGCCTGTTTCAAAGCATTAACAATTTCCTTGTAAAACAGAAGATTTTTTTAGAAAAACTGGGGTTGTACAACAGAAGATTTGCTAAGAACAACTAGGGCTGTATAACAGAAGATTTGCTTACAACAACTTGGGTTGTACAACAGATGATTTGCTTAGAACAGTTATGAGTGTACAATAGATTTGTTTAGAACAACTTTGGTTGTACAACAGAAGATTTTCTAAGAACAACTAGGGTTGTACAACAGAAGTTATGCTAAGAACAACTAGGGCTGTACAACAGAAGATTTGCTTAGAACAATTATGATTGTACAACAGAAGATTTTCTAAGAACAATTAGGATAGTACAACAGATGATTTGCTTAGAACAATTAGGATTGTATAACAGAAGATTTGCTTAGAACAAAGGTTGTACAATAGTAGATTTGTTTAGAAAAACTGGGGTTGTACAACAGAAGATTTGCTGAGAGCAACTAGGGTTGTACAACAGAAGATTTAATAGGTGCCTTTGATTGTATACAATTAATAGCCATATGTTTCAAAGCATTAACAATTTCCTTGTAAAACAGAAGATTTGTTTAGAAAAACTGGGGTTGTACAACAGAAGATTCGCTAAGAACAACTAGGGCTGTATAACAAAAGATTTGCTTACAACAACTTGGGTCGTACAACAGAAGTCTTGCTTAGAACAATTATGATTGTACAACAGAAGATTTGTTTAAACAACTTTGGTTGTACAACAGAAGATTTTCGAAGAACAACTAGAGTTGTACAACAGAAGATTTGCTACAACAACTATGATTGTACAAAAGAAGATTTGCTTAGAACAACTTGGGGTGTACAACAGAAGATTTGCTTAAAATTACTTAGGTTGTACAGCAGAAGATTTGCTTAGAACATAGCTCAGTGAGAGATGTAGATTAAAAATCAAACGAGCCTACCTTACATAGCTCAGTGAGAGGTGTAGATAAAGTCAAACTAGCCTACCTGACATAGCTCAGTGAGGGATGTAGATAAAGTCAAACTAGCCTACCCACCATAGCTCAGTGGGAGATGTAGATAAAGTCAAACTAGCCCACCTTGCATAGCTCAGTGAAGATGTAGATAAAGTCAAACTAGCCTACCTTGCATACCTCAGTGAGAGCGTAGATAAAGTCAAACTAGCCTACCTACCACAGCCCAGTGAGAGATGTAGATAAAGTCAAACTAGCCTACCTTGCATAGCTCAGAGGGAGATCTAGATAAAGTCAAACTACTCTACCTTGCATAGCTCAGTGGGAGATGTAGATAAAATCAAACTAGCCTACCCTGCATAGCTCAGTGGGAGATGTAGATAAAGTCAAACTAGCCTAACTTGCATAGGTCAGTGAT